CTGAGAGGAGAGTACCTGTACCTGTGAACTACAAATCCCAGGATGCCATTCAGTTCTCAAACCCCTGTTATAATAGTCACACAGGTTCAACTTTCCCTACTCCATCAGGCAACAAAATATAAAGCCTCTTGTGTCGACTTTCATCAGGAATAGCTCTCCCACGTGGACTTCCTCCTAGGAATAGAACCTTTGGGCTTGTGCTGGAGGTTGGGTCAGAATCCCAGATTCCTTCCAAATCTCAAAACCCAAGCTCCTTGAAGCTGTTTTGTTTGTTTTACTTTTCATTTTTGTCTCATATTTCCAGTGCCCCAGTACATGCCTTGTGGAAGATGAAAGAGTTTTTACTTTGGAAGGCCTCACACTGATGAAATAAAAAAATAGAGTCTATACTACTCCCAAAGTATAAATAAATAAATTCAATAAATGAATGAATGAATGAATGAATAAATGAATTAATTAATTAATGAATCCTAGTCCCTAGGACGGTGCCTTGCATGAAATAGGCAATGAACAGAGGCTTATTGGATTATATTGGATATAATCCCAAAGTGTTTGTAACCCTAGTTTAGGAAAGAAGGTATTTGGAAGTACCCTCAGATTTTCCGTTTGTTACATTTCTTCAAGCTGCTGGCTATCCACCTCCCTGTTAAAATTTAGGCCCTCCAAATGGGGTTTTTGTTTAGAAGTGGCCCATGTTTTCCTTTCAGAAAGACTAATAGGGATGTTTCATCTCTGTTAACAGCAGTGCTGTCATCAAACTAGATACCAAATATTTTGAAAATAGGCATGATTTCTATGCTCATTTAGAAGGAAGTGGTTTTAACAGGCACCAATAAAATGCTCTCTGCCCTTCCCCTTAGAATTTTACAAGTTAGTGGGACCTCAGGAGTCATCAAGCTCAACTTTTCATTTTACAATTGAGGAAATCGAGGGCCATAGAAAAATGAACATGGCTGAGGTCAACACAGATGTACCACAGAGCTAAGACTGTAACTCCAGTCTCCTGACTCCTAGTCTTAGTGTTTTTTCTGCCATCCCATGCAATCTTCTTTGGATGGTACTGAGTAATTCATATTTGTTTTAATTTTGTGTAGTTTGTGTCCTTTTGGAAAACTGAACTAAGTTTTCTTGCAAAACACAAAAATAGGGTGGGGAAAGGGTTTGAAGTTGATAAAGCATAAACATTTAATAATCTAAGTATTCTTGCCTTCATTTTTTCACATGGGTAGGTAACTTCTTAACAACTTAGTTACCAGATTCTTAGAGAGGATATCAAGTTTTATCTGTGTGTACCACCGTGTGAAATATCTTGCTGTTTGACCTTAGAGTCAGAAGAGAATGCATATAGAATAGCCCCCAACCAGAACCTCCTCCTTCAATTAAGACTGCAAATGCAAAATTGTTTCAGAAGCTATACTTTTTAAAATGTCTGAGGTGGAGATAGTGAATGGTGGTGGTTCTTATTGTTGTTGTTAATCATTTTCCCTAAAGCCATTTCAGCCTTTCTTTCCTGTTCTCATCTACATTATGCCACTCAGTCTCAGCAAGGCTGCCCAGCTGGTGCTGTGGTTGTATGTTGCTTAAGAGCATATTTTAAAAACCCTTTTCTGGGCTTGGCTGGCTGGATGGCTAGCTGGCTGCTAAATTCAAATTGATCCTTTTCCCTCCTCCCTCCAGGGTCCTCCACGCCTCAACTTCTAAGTGTGAATCAGTAGACAGGAGGTATGGCTGAAAAAGGCAGCAGGTGGTCAGGAGTCCTGGAAGGAGGTTGCTTGCACTGAAACTGTTTCTCTAGGCCACTCTGTATTCTGTTGCCTCATTATGCCTTCTAAAGTCTTAGGAAATCAGAATTTTATGAGCTTTGAAAATCCTTTTGGATGAAAGAGCTGGAAACATTGGGATAGCCCTAGGATCAAGATAATTACAACCCCTTTCAAATAGGACCCAGAGAGGCCAGGCTGAGCCTTTTAAAAAGCATCATCTATTAAGAGTGCTGTAAGTTAGTGCAATTAAACATGGAAAAGAAAAGAGAAGTCTGGGAGGAAAACAGAGGCAAGAACCAGAGCAATCTGTCATATGCTTAATAGAAAAGAAAAAAAAATCTTCATTGCAAACAAGGCCCAGTGAGGCTTCCCTCCACCCTTCCATGAGATGATTCTCAAATTTAATGATTTTCACATCTAATTCAGTGAGAAATTAGTCACCAGGTATTAAGACAAAAGCAGGCAGGCTCCTGCCTTGGTGAGGAATCCTTCCTGCTGAAGTGGAACTATCTCTGGCATAATTAAAATGCTTGCTGAAGTAGAAAAACATAACATTTCATGCATTAACCAGTTTTTCCTCTTTTAAAGCTAGTTTCCCTCTCCCCCAATCCCTAATGTTCCCGTCTTTAGTCAAAGAACAAAGGGTTACTTGCCATGAAACAAAGACGTGGAAATCTGGTTGTGCTCCGTAGGGCTGTTTCCGTGTCAGAAATATGGTGTCTGGTCAGAGAGGCTAAGGTCCTGCCCCAGCCTGGGAACACAGAACCTCATTCATCTCAGTGGGTACTCAGAGTTGTGAGCTGGGCTGTCAGACTGACCGTTAGAATTTCAGTGGATGAACCAACAAACAAATGGAACCCACAGTTAACATTTTTGTAATAAGAAACGGTTTACAAAGGAAGACTCTAAATGGTTTTTTTTAAATGTTAGGACTTTTTATACTCAAATCCAGTGTTGTGTCTACGAAGATCATATGAGGAGTGCTGGATTTGAATCCAGGAGTCCTTGGTTGTTGTGTGTGTGATACTGGGCAAGTTACTGACCTCTCTACTGGCTTCAGTTTCCTAATCTGCAAAATGAGGATAGCCTCTGAGGTCACTTCTAGCTCATAATCTATGATTCTGTAAGTGTTTGTCTATGCACATTCTGATGATGCTTAAAACATTGTGGAACTCTGCTCTGGAAGTTAACAAATTTACAGTTTCAGGGACAGTATATAAGTCAGATAAGAAAACTGGAGTAGTGTAGAAACAATAGAGTTCTATACTCTGAGTTAGGTGAGACCTGTATTTTAAATCCCACCTCTGACATTTACTAATTCTGTGACCATGAACAATTTCTCTATGCCGCAATTTCCTAATCTCTAAAATGGGTATAATGATACCTAGAATACCTATTTCACACAATTATTGCAAGGCCCAAGTCAATATATCTGTGAACCTTTCTGTAAACCCTGAAGCTCTATCTAAATGTCAGCTGTCATGATGTACCTTAGAAATTATAGGATCAAAAATTTAGAGCCAAAAGGGGCCTCAAGGTTTAATCTAGTCCTCTCATTTTACAGATGAGAAAGCTGAGACCCAGAGGCTAAGTGACTTTTTCCCCTAGACCATGCTGCCTCTCATCTTGACCAAACTATTCATTTCACAGATGAGAGATCATATAATCTCAGAGTCAAAAGGAAACTCAAAGATTATTTGGTCCAGTACATGAATTCTGTCTGTGACATCCTGGACTATTGGTCGTCCAGACTTCCCTTGAACATTTCCAGAAAAAAAAAAAAGAAAGAAAACTCATTATTTCCCAAAGCAGTTCATTCCATTGTCAGACAATTCTTATTAGGAAAATTTTCCTAATATTAAGTCAAAATATGCCTCCCTGTAACTTTTCCTCATTACTCCTAGTTCTTCTCTCCAGGGCCAAGCAGAACAGCTGAAAATTTGAGCCTTGGAGAAATCCAGTGATTTGGCCAAGGTCATACAGCTTGTTATTGATGAAACAGGCATCCTAACTCCCAGTCTAGCTTCCTTTCCATTGGAATCTCATCACCTCATAGTGACATCTGGTTGCTTAGCAAAATTGGCAATGCCACTTTATTATCTACCTCATTTTACCAGACTTTGTCTCCAGATTAGGTTTGGATATTTCCAAAAATTGAATGCATCCTCAAAAGACAAAGATTTGCTACCATGGAATGTATTCAAATGAATGTGCCTCACAATCTGAAGACAACAGTGTTTTTTCTTCATTACATCCAGGAACAGCTGAGACAGAGTGATGAACAATAGCAAGAGCTTGCATTAATGTAGTGCTGTAAGGCTCATGAAACACCTCCCTTACGATTACCCTGTAGGGTAGATTGTGTAAATATTTTTATCCCCATTTTTCACATAAGGAAACTGAGGCTCAGAAAGGTTAAATCACTTTCCCATAGCTATATAGCTAATGATTGGGAATGTCAAGACTCAAGGCAGGATATCTGGACTCCAAGACGATAGGGTTCTTTCCACACTACTACGCTGCCTACCACTCAGACACTCTCAGGAACAAACCAACTGACAGATGAAAGGTGAACACAGAGTGAGAGAGAGGCTTCAGGAGGTACAGGGTATCTGTCTTCTGCTCACTCCCCTTCTGCTGGCTGGACAGGGATAGCACTTGCTAATCTCCATCCTCCAGGCCCAGTCACAGAGAAATGTTCTGCTATGGACCATTTGGCAGTATTTCATTAGAGAGCCTAACCGTTAATGTCTTCCCCAACATCAGGTGTTTTCTCATATTAAAAGTGCTGTTTCTTCTCCCTTGGGTCTTGAAAAGAAGTTTAATGAGCCTACTAGTTTCTTGGTTGCCCCATTTCTTGCCCCCCACAAAGGATTCCTTGGTGGTTTTATTTTGAGACCTCAAAAACCCAACAGCAGATCCCAGGATAGTATGCCAACAGACAAAAACACATTTTTTTCTCCCATTTCAATCACATTGCCAGAGTCTCTTAGCTGACTTTGACAATAAACCCCCATCCTGACTGCTGGTGGGAGCTCAGGGGGGAAAAAATGGTGTGTCGCTTTTTTATGTGGTTTTTCCCATAAGGGTTGGCGTGAATCAGATCCAAGATCCACGTGAGTTATCAGTCACTGCCAATAAGCTATGATAGGAATAAGAAGCATGATAAAAATAAATAAATAAATAACTCGGTGCTCATTGACTGATAATTACTCTTTGCTCTGATATTCCTTGCAGTGATTCCTAAAGTGACAAAGCATCTATTGTCTAACCCCGTGTTCACCTGCATCGTCCTGGCAGCCTGTATGGAGATTGCAGTGGTGGCTGGCTTTGCTGCCTTCCTGGGAAAGTACTTGGAACAGCAGTTCAACCTCACAACTTCATCAGCCAACCAGCTGCTGGGTGAGTGGCCCTCCCATCCTAAAGCCAGGATGGCTGTTTATTTAGTCCTCCACAGGGGAGGAGTCGTGGTAAGCAGGAGGAGGAAAGAATTCTTTGACAATTCTATCTGACAAGTTTAGCAATGCCTACTGTGTTTTGAACACTTTGCTCAATATTCACGGCAAAGGAGATTATATGTAATATATGATGCAATTTAATTCAATAAATATTTTAAATGCCTTTAAGGCACTTTATTAGACATGGGGACACAAGGATAAAAATGAAAACAGCCCCTGTCCTCAAAGAGCTTACATTCTTTTCTCTTTAAAGAGTTTCAAAAGCTTATTCTTAAGATAAGACTTATGCACCTGAAGCAATTACAGAATGATCTAATAATAATAGTTAATATGCATATAGCCCCTACAATGGGCAAGATACTGTGCTAAGCATTTATAAGTATTAACTCACTTGTTCTTCACAACAATCCTAGGAGATAGGTGTTATTATTATCCCCATTGTATAGGTGAGGAAACCGAAGCAAGCAGAAGTTAAGTAACTTGCCCAGGATCACATGCTAATAAGAGTCTAAGACCAGATTTGAACTCAGGTCTTTGTGACTCCAGGTCTAGGGCCCTATCCACTGTACCACCTGGCTTCATCTGGGGGATAGTAGACTGAGAGCTGGCCTGAAATCAGGAAAACTGGAGTTTAAATCTCCTTTCTAATCCACATTATCATTGTCACCCTGGAGAAGTCACTTACCTTCTCAATGCCCTAGGTCAGTGGTGTCAAATTCAACTATAGACGGGGCCACTAATCTGTACATAAGGATCCCTTGGGTCTGCATATCGATTTAGCTTTTAATTGTAATATTACACAACTTTCATTGTATTTTTTTTCATTTTGTTCAATATTTCTCAATTGCATTAATCTGGTTGAGGGGCACCCTGGAGAGTTGTGGCTACATGAGGCCTGTGCTTTATGTCTTTGACACTTGTGCTCTAGGCTCCTCCCTAAGGCTATAAGTCGCAGAGAAGGTGCCTACATACATTGGTTGAGGGACTTTCATCGTCTAGGAGTCCCCTATATCCATGAAATCACATGTCTGGTCCTTAACTATATCCTAGCCTTATAAGATACTGAATAATCAAGAAGTGAAAGGTAACATAAGAAAAAATGTGATACTGGGGAACAGGAGTTTCAGGAACAGTAGAGATCAGAGTGAACTGAAACAGTCAGGGAAAACTTCAGGGGAAAGTGGGTCTTCAGCTGGGTTTTGAAGGCCAGGACAAATTTGGATAGACAGAGATGAAGGGGAAGGGCATCTCACTTAGGGATACCTACCAACACTGGTAAAACCGCAAAGGGGGGAAGGAACATGGCTCGTGTGGAGGACAGTGAGAAAACTGTCCATTATGAAGAACAGTGTAAAATAAAACTGATGACTAATATGGAGGAAGATTATAGAGGGTTTGGAAAAGGTCAGGACTTAATGCCCATCTATTTTTAAGAGAATATTTTGACTCAGCTCTCTTTTCTTTTCCTCAACAGTCTATACCACAATAAACCAAAAAGAGTCTAAGAACATTGCACAGAATGTTTATAAACCTCATGTTTTTGGAACCAAAGGCAAATTAAAGAGACCCTTACTTCAAAGAGGCAATCACAAAACACAGTTAGCCCTTTTCTATCTGTCTGAGAAAGTGGAATGTGTCTTTTCCTTTAATGTTCAGTTTTCTAACACTATATCTTCACATTGTTAGACTTGAGCCCCCAGGCACAGAGGAAGAAACAGTATATCACCTCCTGATCTCTTCCCTTCCTTTCTTTGAATTCTTCTTGCTTTGAAAGAGGCACTTCCACTTCAGGCTGTGTGTAGCTTCACAATAGGTCCCTGCTCTTCTATTGCCAAATCAATCAATAGAATTCTGGAGGAAAGGACAAAAGAAGAATCTCAAGTCCTTGAGCCCGTGTAACATCTGTTCTTCCCACTACTAGTTTCAATGATCAGAACACTATCAAAGGTAATTATTTTAACCCATAGGGAGGTATTCCATGAATCCTAATTCCTTCAGCAGTCCAAGAATGTGACTTCCATTTAAAGGATTCTTATAATTATTTTTTTACTGTGATCAACTTAGTGGCATCATGCCATCTGGATTGAAAAAACACAAGAGAAAGGGTACCAGAGTAGGCTGGCAATGGTTAGGGGCACAAAGAAAGGGAATCATAAATATAAGGAGAAGCTCCAATGGGAATATATTCTATTCATAGCTCTCATGGACCTGGGAGACAACCTATTCAATCTTCCGGAAGCACCAGTGACCAGCTCTGGGCAATACCACAGAGCCATCAACAAATTGGACAGAATTCAGAGCACAACAACAAAAATGATTAAGGGCCTGGCAGGACTGATTTATGAGAGAAGATTAAAAGGACTAAATCTGCATAGGTTAACTTAATGAGGAGAGAGTTGGGAGGAAAGTTATGATAACTGTCCACAAGTATTAAGGAGCAATATGCTTCAAGGAGAGGGAGTAATTGTTTATGGTGGCTCAGAGGCAAGAGGACATTAAGTGGTATTGGCAGAGTCACTACATAATACCGTCTAAGTGCCCAAAGGGCTTTGGTGTTGTGCTAGGTACTATTGAAAGGAAGATAAACAGATCTCAGTCCTGATCATCAAGAGTATCTTTCATTCATGCAAGTAGGGTCAGCTCATCACATCTATGCCAAGAAGTTATGGTGGGAAAATTATGATGTAAACAGTCCAAAATAATGGAGAATCTGAAAATATTTGACGTTTGTCAATAAAACTATTCCAATATTCTGTGATCTCATTAACATAGGTATTCCTTCCAATCCTCCAATGATACAGATAACAAACCCGTCCATGGATGCCCATTCTGCATGAATCTTGACCATATCACACAAATGGAGTCCAAAAATTAATTGTTACGGTATTAGCTAGCATTATATTATTTCTGCCTACCTACTTATATGATATTTGATTTGATATTGAAGCTAATATACATTCCTCTAGTGTATACACCAACTAATTAATGTGGAAAGTGACTCTAGGAGTGTGCTAGTACACAAGATAAAGACATCCTAGGTTACAAATTGGCCCTAAGTAATATTGATAATCTACAGGTGACTTTCATGTAAAAATAAGGTGATGCAAAACAGAATAAAGTCAAATAAAAATCATTATAATAATGTATTTATAATGTGTGTAAAATCATGAATTTAGAGTTAGAAAAGACTGCAGAGGTCACCTGGTCCAGTGCCTTCATTTTATAGATAAGGAAACAAAGCCCCAGAAAGGTCATATGATTTGACCAAAGTCACTCAGACAGTAAGTGACAGAAGAAGGATTTACACTTGAATCCTCTGCCCCCAGATCTGCCCTGCACCATGCTGCCATCCCAAGTGCTGCCATCCCAAGCCTTACAAAAAGTAACTTGCTGGAGCAAGTGGGTGGCTATGACACATGAACCATTTTTTTTTCATTTGACCTTGAAGAAGAGTTGATTTTTTTAAACTCTGTAAGCTGTTAAATTGTCTATCATCTTGGCAAGACTGTCATATGGTACAAGCCACTCTTTTTGTGGGTGGTACCTTAGGCTGTATAGGAAGCTGAAAAGTCATTCTTCCTGATAAATTGGAAGAGAGATAACAAATTCCAGCTGGCCCCCATACACGAGGTAACATGACAGAGTGGGTAGAACACTGCCTCTAAATTTAAATCCCACATCAGACACTTTCTAGCTTTTTAATCCTAGATTCATCACTTAACATCTCTATGTCTCATTTTCCTCATCTGTAAAAGAAGAGAGTTAGACTTGATGGCTTCCAAGTCCCTTCAACTCTAAGTCTATGCTCCCATGATCCATATAGTCCAAATATGTAAGTACTGTGAGGCTTTATCACCCCATGATATATTCTTATCCTTTCACTTATACACTATTTTTTCATACAGTTGCTCAGTATTCATTTGCCATGTGATCTCCATTATTCTCAGCATCAGACTTGTCTGTGTGATCATGGCACCCAGTCTAGTGCCATATAATCACGGAAGCTCTAATAAATGTGTTTAAATGTTGAGGATGATGACACAAGATCAGTCATTGAAATTACTGTTGAATGCTTGCTGACTTTTATATGGATATGTTTTCAGTTTGAGCATTTATATCACTAGTCCTTGCTCTTCTAGACACATACCATTCCTATTTCTAACCTCTTTCTTCCCCTCTATTCTAGGGATGACTGCTATCCCATGTGCATGTCTGGGTATATTTCTAGGAGGTCTTCTTGTAAAGAAGCTCAGCCTGTCTGCTCTGGGAGCCATTCGGATGGCCATGCTAGTTAACCTGGTGTCTACAGCATGTTATGTTTCCTTCCTCTTCCTGGGGTGTGACACAGGTCCTGTGGCTGGGGTTACTGTTCCCTATGGAAACGAGTAAGTACTAGAAGAAATTGAACAGGTATGAAAGAATGAATGAAGCAACGAAGGAATGAATGAAAAAGGATCAATTAAGCACTATGTGCTAGGCGCTGTGCTAGAAGTACAAATACAAAAGCAGGACAGCCCCCGTCCTCAAGGCAATTACCTTCTAATAGAGACAACACATAGAAGGGAATGGTGGCCAGGGGAAAGTGGTTTGTCAGAGCAGTTACAGGTATTACAGGTGGAGCAATGGGGAAATGTTTGGCATGCACCTTCCCCCTCTCATGACAGTGGAACTCACTACCATGGCTCATTTACACCAGCTATGCTTCCATTAAAGGCGCAGCAGAGAAGAAGCTTTGTCTCCTTCTGTGAGTGTGAGCTTGAGGAGGGTGCACAATTCCATAGGATCATAGATTTAGGGCTGGAAGGGACCTTTCAGGCCTTTAAGTCCAACTCCCCTCCTATGACATATCAGGAAACCAAGGCTGAGAGCAGTTCACTGATTTGCCCAGGGTCACACCACGAGTAAGTATTTGAAGCAAGATTTGAACTTGCCTCTTCTTCACTGCAAGCCCAGGGCACTATCCACTATGCCACCAATATCTCTTCTAAATATCTCCATGGAACAAGTAAGTCTTTTGTACCCTGGAATATTTTTCTTATATTGTAGTTTATCATTACCTTCAAGGCTGACAGCATAGATTGCACCAAATCCTGAAAAATACCAGAAATTGTCAATACTCCTGACACTGCCTGGGTGACCTTGGGAATGTCACTTAACCTTCCTGGGCTTCAGTTTCCACTGTGAGTTTATAAATCTGCAAAATAAGGGCATTGAACTAGATGGCCTCAGAGACCACTTCCAGCTCTCAATCCGCAGTCCCATCATTTATAAAGCAAGGTCTTTATTTCTTAATGTCTCTCCTTTTCAACTTTCTTCTCATCATCCTAAATCTTCGGACAGTCTTTTAGACTAATCACTGTAAGAGAGAAATACAGGGAATGGCATTACCATGTGAAGCACTTGGGGCCCTTCCTACTCATGGGCCACCCTAGAAAACTATCTCAGGGTCTAGTTATTTTGTGGATCAGAATCTTCTTCAAACCATAATTCACAAGCCCTTACTAATGTGTTTGCTTTAACTAATCAGCCAGAGATTACATTTGATTCCAAGTAAAGGATATAATGAATTAATAGTAATTAAATTAATGATAGAATATTCCCACGGTTAAACTGAAGCTCACTCCCCTACAATTGCATAACCATTCGCTGGGAAGAGTGGAAACATGTAATGATAACACATGGGACATACGTATGTGATGTGGGGACTCTGGGTGGCCAGGACATATATGTGGACAGACTATACCACTGATGTCACAGAGCTGTCAATGTCATTGTGCTGCTCTCTTCTAGGAAGGCTCCCTGCTGGGTGGCAGGTCTCCACTGCTCCTCACCAGGCATCATTTATCCCCTCCAGCTGGTCTGCATCTATCCATCTATCTTCAGGGCCACCTAAGCCTCTGCTGTGTTGGGTGGGTCATTCCTCTGTCAGCCAGCTCTTTCAACTGTCTCCACCTACCTTTGGAGGGGGGAAGAAGGGAGAAGGGAGGTAATGTGGACTATAAATCTGTAAGCCTCTTCCCAGCAGGAAAACTCTATTTAGTCATCTCATTCATCCTGCTTTGAACCTCAGCTAAAGACTTCAGCTAAGGTACTATCTTGAGGAATGTCCACTACTCTCTCCACGATCCACTAGCAATACAGCTCTCTTCAGATAATTTTTAAGCCAATAGGTAAGAAGTTCTTCTTGTCAGCCAAACTGTTCACAGCAGATACCCAGTGTAAGATCAGGTCTAAACTCTCTTCTCTGCTTTTTCCTCTGATTTCCTCAGTTCAATTTTTATCTGAATTATGGTCACACTATAATTTGCCCAGACTTCAGCAATTCCAGTGTATAGTATCATAGGCCTTTTGCTCCTCTATTTAGACATTTATTTAGATAGAGATATTTAGAGTGCTGAATAGGAAATCATAATGTGGATTCAAGCCCATGACTTACTAGCTTTGTGACCTTGGGTAAGTCATCTTAACCTTTCTGAGACTCAGTTTATTCATCAGTAAAACAGAAGTAATCATATTTATTCAAGGTCATGCCCAAGATGATTGTAAGGATCAAATAAAATATTGGACATGAAAACACTTAATGAGATATAAAGTCTACACATATAAAAAAGTTATTAATGCCATCATCTCAACAAAGCCAAATGAATAGATTCTTTCTTTGGTCATTTATATGGAAACCCAAAGCCAAAGAAGGTATCTTGTTCCAGGAGTGAATCTACAAGATGAGACATTCTTGTCCCTGCCAATGGTTACTCCAAAAGATAAATCAGTTGTCAGAACAGAATAGAGGCGCATTTGCCTCTACAGAAGCTTTAAGAACTCTATCCTTCTTCCCCACTTTTCCTGAGTGACAAGTTCAAAGTGACATTTTCTTCATATGCTTTATAGTTGGTCCTTTTGGGGGGGGGGTGAGGGGAGAAGAGCGTAACAGTATTTACAGATCAAACTATGGGACCTCAGTTTGGATTATTGACTCTGTCTTGAATTCCCCCACATTCAAAGATCTGACTTGTAGGTAGGAATAATGCCACCTAATCTCTTCTAGATGAAATGTAGTGGGGAGGATGAGATGAGAGATTTTTCTACTTGGAACATTTAATAACCTCTCCTAACTTAGTATCTCTTCTCATTTGCTTTTCACTAGTAGAAAGAAAGACAACAACCTTCTAAGTTCTTAATAAAAATAAATAAAAATGAAAAGCATCTTAAAATATTACTTATCCCAGGGAAATTGAGAATTGTTGATCAGTCATCAGGGACTTATTGAGATTCATTTGTGTTCACTGCTTTCCTGGGCAATGTGAGGATTACAGTAGTAGTATAAGACTTTGTCCCTTTCCTCAATAACCTTATTGTCTCACTTGGGGAAACAAAGTTAAAACACACCAAACCATAATGAAGCAGTACAAAGTAGCTTATAATCAAGTGTATGGTGCACAGTTATGCAGGACAGAGACAGAAAAATGAGTTAAGCTTGAATTAATTAGGCAAGGCCTTCTTTATGGAGAAAGTGGGATGTGAGTTGAGCCTTAAACTGATAGGATTTGTACATACAGGGGGAAAGGAAAGGGCTTTCCTGTATGAGAAATGAATATCAATCAAGACACAGCATTAGGAATGAGCAAAGAAAGAGAAGAGGCCAAGCTGCCTGGATTATGTATTTAAGGAATCTTGGAAGATCAAGCTGGATGGGTAGGTAGTGTGGTGTCAAATTAAGAAAGTAGTTAGGCTGAATTTTTTTTTAATCAATTTGAAGTGATTATACCTCCATCTATTTATGATACTGGTTCCAATTCTTATTAATTGTGTAATCCTAGGCAAATTACTCAGCCTCTCTGAGCCAAAATGCAATACTCACCTTCTCATTGTTGTAAGAAAAGTGTCTTGTAAATAATAGTATTATATAAACGTGTATGATTGATGTGAGTTATTTTGTATTTTCTCTTACAGCTCAGCACCCAGTGTAACTTTGGATCCCTATTCTCCTTGCAATAATAACTGTGAATGCCAAACCGACTCTTTCACGCCAGTCTGTGGGGCAGATGGCATCACTTACCTGTCTGCTTGCTTTGCTGGATGCAACAGCACGGTATTTGCGACTTATTTATTCTCTGGATAGGGCGAAGGATCGTGGATTAAGAGCTGCAGCTTACGTGGCAGCCTATACCCAAGGGGATGGTTGACTGCCATAGGAAATAAAGAATCAGTAGTTGTCAGTAGCTCTCTTTTTTTCCTCTCCTGTGATATAAGTTTTTCTCAATCTCATCCCCACTTTGATTAGGAGACTCTACTAGTAGATGGGAAGGACAGGCTTGTCACTCAAGCTTGTTTACTAAGTGACTTGCACAGAACCAAATTGGGCTCCTCGATATGCCTAAATAACTTCCATTGGCATTATTTCAACAACCTAAAGATTAACGATTCCAAAATTTGGGCTGTTCTCTCCATCCACATTGATTGTACACATTTATGGATGCCTTCATGAGTTGCTCTGGGTGAAAAAAATTCCTGACTCAAGAGCTAAGCTTCTGATGATGAGCCTCTTCAACCTAACTTGGGCTGGTCCACCATACCTGGAACATAGTAGGCACTTAATAAGTGTTTATTGACTGATTTAATGATTTGTCCATATCTTCAGATGACTCAGAAGCAGTCCATCAATTGGCCCATACTCAAAATGTTCCCAGCTTGTTGTAAGAAGTGTCAAAGCTTCTGTACTCCATTCTCATGATCTTCAAGAACACAGATTCACTCTCACACCATGATGAAGCATAAGAGTAGGACTTTGGTGAACCAGAGAATCCATGGCCACTAGCATTATTCAAGGTACAAGTCAAAGGAAGCTTTGTACCAAAAGCCAAGGGAAAGAATTTTGGGCCATGTCTTAAACAACCTTTGTGCTCACTGACTTTCCTTTTTATTCTTTGCTCCTGGATTCCCCACCTCTTTCTGTCTCCTGCTCCTTGTATTTCTCTTGTACTTTTCATTGACAGCATTTGCCTCTGTGTATAAGGACTGAACTGAGCCATATAGGATGATAAAAATGGAGAAAGGGAGACCTATTTCTTCCTTTCAATAAACTAACTGTTGAATCACTTGCCCCTTCTATCTTGTCACCTATCCACTTTGGATATAGGCAAAGTCTAGCAGTAATGCCAAGTGGCCATTAGTCAGAAACAAAGAAAATAGGGATCATTCATCTTAATTTTCTGAAAATTAAGTTTTTCCTTACTTTAATGTTTGGATTCTTGGCTTACTGCTGCTGTTAACCATTTTTCAAAAAGTAAGATATATCATTTTGGGTGGGGAGAAAGCTATTTTTCAAATAAGATTATAAAGCAATTTCTCTGTGTGGATAAAAATGAATGGAAAAAAAGAATTGGGTTTTGGGAATGGGTAGAATGAAAACACCAGTTATTATTTTCTGTGACAACAATTTCATTAACATTTTAATATCTGAAGAGTTATGTTGCAAATTAGTCTTTGTTATTGTCCTGTTGCAAGGATTAAATGTATTCAATATGTGCTACTGTCCTGAGACTAAAATAGTGTCTATTTCAGAAAATTCAGTGACCAAAAAATTGTCTGAGAAAATGCACTTCCCCTGATCTTGCATATACATAAAGTCTTATTAAATAAAAGCTTAACTGGGTCCAGTGGTTGCTTTCAGTTGCTGAAACAGCAAAGCAGCAGAATCCAATTATCCCTGATCTGCTTTGCCCTTCTTGATTCGTGAAACTGTAACATATTTCTGTTCCTCAGCTTACCGCTTAAATTTTCATTTCCACACACACCTACCCCACCCCAGAAGAAATTCTGCTTTTTCCTTGAGTTTTCTGAAAAATATATACTACATTTTATTCTGGGTGGGAAGATTAATGTAAAAACACACAGTAAAGCAGAAGAAACTGCCACCTTCCAGGACAGAAGGGGAAAACTTCCCCCTTCTGCACTAGGATGCTTTTCTCCCCCCACCTCCCCCCCCCCATTTCTGGCAAGGAGAGGAGCGACCTGAATGCCAGCCTCATAATATTTAATTCCTAGGGAACAAACACTCGCAGTTGTGACTGTTAGAGTTTCATTTTCACTCTTCCTCTAGTTTTATCTTCCCCTACTACTTCAATTTTTAAGAAAAAAGAAAAGTCTCCATGCATTATCCCCATACACTCTCCAATGAGTCTGAGCACCCAGCGTCCAGACCCTATGCCTAACAAGTGTCTTGTTAGAGCTCTTGTTCTGATTTCAGATTATAACCAGTTAGGCCATGGGTAATAGCACTGCTCCCTTGAGTGATTACAAGCAGCTGGATTTAGCTAGGGCATGTGCAAATTTCACTGTTAAGTACAATCAGATTTCTAGTCCTCCACATAGGCACCATTTTCACCCACCGAGACTGGTGAAAACCATTTAAAATTTGATCAGCTGGAGGAAGACACTGGGTGAGACTGATTCTACATCCAGTAACATCTGGTTTCCTCACACCCTATGTTTGGGCTTCATTTCGGACCCCATGTGTGTTTTTCCTACTTGTCATCCCAAGCTTCCTGGGATTGTACTGTATTTAATAAAAGATTTTTTAATACCTCTCATTGCATTTGACTGGGAGCCTGTGTAACTGACTGAAAGTTACTTTTGTATATTTCCTTTGGCATTAATCTACTGTCCAGATTGTTTACTTACATTTCACTCTGAGAAGTAATTATTCCAGCGGTAAGCATGTTAGCACTCTGCTGACTGCCTGTTGGAAGAAATATCCTTCTGATGTGCTAAATAACTGGCTTTAAAAAAATAGAAATAATTCCAACCACTGGTGGTATGTAGGAAAGTAGCATAAATCCAACATGGCAGTTTGTAGGAGAATCAAGATGGGGTAGAGAGTGTTTGGCTTACATTTCTGGAAATGGGTCATCTCATGGGGGTGTGATTTGTTTGGAATCCATTTTCTCTAGTGTGATTTTTTTTTCTTTTTAATGGTGCCACTCAGCCATTTAATTTATCAAGCTACAGCATCCTTTAGAAGGAGAACAATTAAGACATTTTGAAATACCTTGGCATGTAATAGGCCCTGACCTGTAGCCAAATGGCCAGACCAAGCTGGATGTCTGTGGTCATCCTGGTACCAGCCTATCAAGAAGGCATGGTTAATATTCTGAAGCCAAGTTCTGCTGCCTCTCCAAATGTTTTTAGCCTCTGCTGCATTTGGACATGGCTGATTTTGTGTCTCCATTCTTCCCCCACCCTCTATTTCTCAATGGAGTGGCTACCACAAGTAATTAGTTTGCCTTTCTAGTAGCAACTCTCTCTCTCCTTCTTCTACAGCCCATGATTCTGTTCTTTGTGCAAAGACAAAATTCTCTCTCAGAATCTGGGGTTATTAGTGTTACAGGTGTGTCGACGTTCTGCTATCATTTCAGGAAGATTCCCTCACCGTCACCATCCTCTCTCCTCACCCCCTCCCTCAGCCATTATTCTTCAGTCAGTGACTCTGCAAGTGAAGATGGAGACAGTATTTCTCTTTGCAGTTTTTCAGTTTCCCCTTTGGCTTGAAGCATATGGATTGCCAACCTAGCTCTTAGTGATGAGATTTTAGGGCTTTACACAGTAATACCAGCCTGGCTTGGGCCAATCAAAAGTTGATATTCTAAGCTGCAAAAAGACAACGGCAAATGACAATAGAATTCTAAAGGCACCACAATGAATTCTGAAAGAATTCATGAATGTCTGGCACAGAGACCTAATTGTTGCCATCCAAAGTAAAAAAAAAAAAAAGCAACCCACTTTGTTGTGGTGATATCATTGGTTTATTGTGAGACCAATTACTAGGAGGTCAGCCACAAAAGATCGAAGGACTCTAAAAGCAGAAATTGGTACCAAATTAGTGATTTGGTTGATTTCCATTCTAAAATACATGACTATATCCAGAAATGCTACAAAAATTGTTATTTTTTCTTATGTCCAATGATTGTCAGGAAAATGAGTATCCCAAAATTTAGGCAAACCCTTAATTTACAAAGAAAATCCTTCAGTTTCAAATTTCTATAAGATGTTTTTATGTTTACACAATATCTTCCCCACAAACTCATCCTCAGAGAAAATTTATTTTTTAACCTGGAAATCAATTTCATTTGTAAAATGAATAGGAATTAAGGTGTGCAGCACTGGTGAGAGCTTGTGTGTGTGTGTGGAGGGTGGGGGTGGGGAAGGAGACTCAAATAAGGCAGCTTCATTTGCCAGAGTTCCTGAATCATTTTTGGATGGTATTTTGCTTCTGTCATTTGAGCTGTCAAAATAACAGCAGTTTGATTTTTTTTCATTTATCCATAGAAAATTAATCAAAAGAGTCCAAAGAGTAAGGGATTTTTTTTGTTTTTGTTTTTTACCCCAATTTATCACGGATTCCAACTTCTTTGTAACTGTATCACCATTGCTTTGTGTTTGTGAATTAAAGTATTTCTCAGTTTAATTTAATGACTGAATGTGGGATAGGAGTGCGATTCTCAGAGTACTCATGTTTATTTTTTCATTGCTTTCTTAACCATTTCATATAAAACCAGCAATTTTTCCAAAAAATATTAAAAAAATGTGCAACTTTTTTTTTTCTGTTCTGTCTCATGACTGAGCTCAGAGCTATAAGGCACGAATGTGAACTCAGGACTCTAAATCAAATATTCCCACAATATCAGGCTTGCTGGCATTTTACCTGGGGGTATCTTTAGGAACACCCAGAGAGTGTTAAATAGATTCCCAAGTCCCTTAAAAGGCACATCGGCTTGTTTTCCAGGGACCATTTTACCCAGTTAAGGGTGAGGCAGAAGGTTAGCAAGTCACATTCAGGAAAAGAATTTTCTTTCTGTGACTCATAGTTCAGACTTTCAGAGGGAGGAAAGAAATAAAAGTGAAGAAGAAATACTTTTGATGCAAAGAGGAGAAGTATTAAGGGGCCTTACCAAATACATCCTCCTCAAGTTCAACCTTTTTTTTTTTTAAGAAATGATCTGGTATCAGTCAATTGCCTTCTCTGTATTTGTTAGAGGTTACCTCTCTTAACTAGTAGCTCTTAACACTTATCTCTCTAAGTCTCACGCAACTTTCTGAAACTACCAGTTACGGCAAGGGTTCTTAACCTTTTGGTGGGTCATGGACCCATTTGCTAGTCTGGTGTAGTGTGCAGACTCCTTCTCAAAATAATGCTTTTAAATGCATGAGATAAAAAGCTAGGATTACAAAGAATAGCAATTATATTGAAATATAGTTATCAAAACATTGTTGTTTAAATAAAAACAAGTTCACAGACCATAGGTTAAAAACTGCTGAGTTGTAGACAGTTACAATCTGCTTTATTGGAAGGAGTGTCAACCTCACTGAGTTCCCACACCAGCTAAACCACAAGCCTGTGGTATATTGACGTGTACCTCTCCCAGGGATACTTGCATCTTAAGCTTTATCTTCAAATGTAAAATGAAAGGCTTCCTCCTGGTGAAGAAATTTCAGGCTTCCTAGAATCTAGTGAAGGCAACATTTGAGGGGAAGAGGAGATCTTCACCGGCTCTTGCAGTCATAGCATAGGGACAGCTCTGTCTATCAATAAGGAGACAGTCCTATATGTAGTTTCAACTGGAAAGGGAGAGGAGGGAAAAAGACAAAAGGTTAGGAAGCAAAACAGTGAAGAAAAAAGAAGAGAAAAACACAGGATTTTTAAAGCAGAGGGGAATATATTTTTAACCTCAAGAGAGTTTGGGTAGTATATAGATGTGACCCGAAAGCCAAGTCTTCCTTAAGACGAGTAATGAATCATTTATGATTGTTTTCATTTTACATTCCTTAGCAGTTTGTGTACTACTATTATAATGCCTTAATTGACCTGACATTCTATACTGTCACCCCCACTTCACCCCTGGCCTCCTACCTTCAGCCATCAGAAATTCCAGGAGGGTAAGTAAAAGCCTCTGTGACTGGAAAACAAAAGCAATTTGACATGAATCCTCCTGAAGAGATCAAATAGAATGCAGTCATTTTTATTTCTTCTGATCATATATTGATAAATCTCCTGTTTGGCCACAGCTTCATTCTTCACATCTATTCCAAACTATATGATGGCATGCTTAGTCCTGTTCATTTTCCTGAAATATACTAGGGAACTTTTCCCTTTACCACTAATGTCTCTATGACCTTCCCTTTGATTCTTGGCTTGAAAAAGACAGTAACTTCACTTAAGGCATTATGATCCGTTTGTTCAAGGTACCAAATTAGTCAATGAACCAGAAACAATGTGCAGGTTACAAATTTACCCCTTTTAGTGTACCCTGGTATGATTATGACTGCATGGAAGAGAGGACAAATTGGCAAATGATTATCACATTAATGTGGTAGTGTTTTAGCATACTCTGGAAATACAATTTCTTTTTTGTTTATTGTATGGGAAAGCTTCTAATTTGGGGGCCATTTGTCTGCACTACAATTTATTGAGGGGCACTTAAACACAGAAAATGAAATGTGTAGGAGGGAAGAAAAAAATAAGCTTTCCTCCCCATAAATATCCCTGTGTCTGTGCATGTGTTTTGAAGGCTCTTGGTAAAAGCTAACTAATTTATTTAGGCCTGATTAATGGAACACCACAGAATGCATAATTAGGAGTTGACAACTTCACCTGATGGATGGCTTTTGATATGGAAAGTCGAAACTCCCAGTTTAAACCGTGGGCATGCTTCCCTTCCCTTTCAGAATCTCACTGGCTGTGCCTGTCTCACATCCGTCCCCTCTGAAAATGCAACAGTAGTTCCTGGGAAATGCCCTAGCCCTGGTTGCCAAGAGGCCTTCCTTACATTCCTCTGTGTGATGTGTGTCTGCAGCATGATAGGAGCAATGGCTCAGACTCCATCTGTGATCATTCTCATCAGGTAAGAGCTAAGCCAGGGCTTCCATGGACCTCAGTTGAATGGCCCGTTTCACACCCATTCATTTGGCTTTGGTTTGGGTTTGGGTTTTGTTTTTGTTGTTGTTGTTGTTGTTGTTGTTGTTGTTTTTTCTGTGACTGAACAGCAAACACCACTTTCAGAAACTTTCCTTCAATTCCACTGAAACTTAATGACTGGGAAACTCAAAATTTTCACAAATTGGGTGTGGTAGGGTCAGTAGCTGTTAACCCACTTCCCCTCAACCAACAAATATCACAGTTCTTTAGTAAGGACATTAGATAACAACATTCCAAATAAAGAGACAACTGTGACTCCAGTCAATACTTAAAGTCATTGTAGAGAACAAATGTTGTTCAGTTGTGTCTAATTCTTTGTGACCCCATTTGGGGTTTTCTTGGCAAAGATACTAGAATGCTTTGCCATTTCCTTCTCCAGATCATTTTGCAGATGAGGAAACTGAGGCAAACAGGGTAAGTGACTTGTCCAGGGTCACACAACTAGTAAGTGTCTGAGGTCAGATTTGAAGTCAGGAAGATGAATCTTCAGACCCAGTGCTCTATCCTCTGCACCACCTAGCTTCTTGATGAAAACACTGCTCACTAAAAAAGATATTCCACAAAATAAGAGAAAACTTATGGAAGGAAAAAGGCATTCTCATGAAGATTATGGGCTTGTCGAGCTATGCACTGACAGCAGAATACTCTTCTCAAAGAGATGATCCCAACATAACTTTGAGTCATCCCATGGGTCAAGAAAGGTGAAGTTAGAAGACCTTAAAGGTACTTTTCCAATGTCATCATAGGGCTGGATTTGTAACAGTAACCTAGAGATGATGGGATCCAGGCCTGAGCATCTTCATAAGGGCTTCTTTTGCTATATTTCATTTCTAACAAACATTTATTAAGTAACTAGCTAGGACCTTTTTCTGTGATTAAAATTAAAGCCTGAGGCTTAGTGATTGGGATTAGAGTTTCATAGGTATTTAGGGAGAGAGAATAATGGTGTCATAGTTCTAGAACTGGAAGGTACCTCAAAGGTGACCTAGTACAACTTCATTTTTCCAGATGAGGACACTGAGACCTGGAGTGGTTAAGTGACTGTCACATGGGTAAGGCACTTAGTACCAGAGACAGAATTTGAACTCAGGTCTTTGACTTCAGCCCCTGTGCTTATTTCTACTAGAGCTACATTAAGTTTTCACTGGAACTTTTAAAGTGGGAGGTGGAGGGTGATGGAGTGATTAAAACAAACAAAAACAAACAAACAAACAAAAACCACAACCTTACCAGGAAGGAAAATTAGCTAAAACTCCAAATCCAGGTCTCAAAGGCAGGACATACAAATTACAAATGATATGCCTTTTTCCTATTTAAGTAAATTTACATCATAGTTTTCCTTCACCATTGTTTCTGTGCTTCAGTATTATGATCGTATTTCTGTTTTTATGCCATGTACCTTGGGAAATGATTTGAGGGAATAATTGTAAGATTTGGTTTTTGGCAGAGGGGTGGGGAAAGAAAGTAGGATTTGGGCCTGCAAGGACCTACTTTCCTTCACTAAAAGGAAATGGGAAAATGAAGGCACTAATTAGAACTTTGAGTATGAGAAAAATTTGTTTCATGAGACAAACCCCTCCCATTTATAAGTGAGTATGACACCATCTTATTCATATACTCTATGCCTCTCCCCAATCTCTGCTTCCCTCAACCCTCCAAAATAGGAAAAAATGAAATTCAGGGCCTTAGGATCAAAAGATTGACTCAGGAATTAAACATAGAGTGGTGAGACTTAAATCACTTTACAGGCACAGTTTGACAAGTATTTCTGGGAGATGGTTTGGAAATATTAGATTCCTTTAAAAAAAAAAAGCAACAGATGGACTGAATGACCTAAGCTGAGGCTTTTCCAATTCAAATAATTCCATGCTTCACACATGCCTGCTGGAGGTGTTCTCACAATGGGCATATGGATATGGGGGGTGGGGGGAATAATTTATTCAGTCAAGCTCCCAAGTTCTATTTCTAGTCACAGATGTTCAAGGCAGGCAGAAAGCACACTATGCCATCTGTAGATAGGTACAGGTATACCCCATACCCTACATTGCCCCAGGGTGTCAGCCACTCTTGTACAACCAATAGCAACCTGTCTCAGAAAGGCACTGAGAAAGTTTGAGGAGTAGGCTAGTACTTTCAATAAATTCTGCACAAGTCCCTTTATTGGCTCATAACTGAGTTTGCAATGAATTTCCCACTAGAAGTGCCTCTCTCCCAGGAGGGTATCAAATGAGAAATTGGTACCTTTTTCATTTTTCTCCTTTGCATTTATGTTGTCTAAAAAGAAATGAAATGTAGTATATTGTTGACAGAGATATAGCTATTTGTGTTAGGGAGCGCTTGCCTTTGTCTCTATGACCACTTCATAGATTAGGGACTAGTAAATGTACCTGTTATTTCATTGGTGGAGGGAACTCCCAAATGAGGAACTCCTACCAATGCAGCTCAGCACTTGAGATATGAAGTGACTTGACCAGGATCACACAGTCAGTTTGTGTCACAGGCCTAATTTGAACCAAAGTCTCAGAGCTTAAAGGCCAGCTTCCTTGCTACTAATTTACATTGCCTTTTGTGGCTACTACATACTACTACAAAGTTAAAATTTTTGACAAATACGGTTAATGAAAGACCTGCAATTCACATGCATTCACAACTTTGAAAGTCATAGAGCAGATTACTACCCAGAAATACCAGGATCTAATGTAGAAGCATAAATACAGGACTGTTGAGTCTAAATTACCAGAAGGTCAAATACTGTGTCTGCTTTAACCAAATCCTGCAATGCATATTAATAATTAGACACGTATTTAGAGATGGAAGGAAATTTCATTAAAATTTTCGACTGAGTTTTCAAGTTTTCACTGGAAAATGATGAAAGATCAGGACAAAGTCTTTTAAAGCCATATTCTACTACTTTTACCTTGATGATGTCTCATAACAAACATATTGATGAAGAGGTTGCTGCCAAGGAGACTTTTAAGGGACTAACAACTATCAAAAGAAAATGTTGAGTCTTAAAAATATTGCTTCAGCCAATCAGTTGAAAGTGTGTAGGCTGACCTTCTGTTCACCAACTTCTGCAACTTTTTAAAAATTTATTTTTGATAAAATATAATCAAAACTTCCTCTTCACCACCACCGTCACCATCCTCATCATTTATATAGTTTGTCAAAGCAAGGCAGAAGTTACTATACCCCATTTGAAAAATAAAGAAACTGAGGCCCAAAGAAGTAAACAGACTTGCCCAAGGTCACATAGATAGTAAGCATCCCAGCTGGGACTGGGGTCCAGGTCTTCTGACTCTAAGAATAGTTCCTTTGCTAACATGCTTCATACAACAATATAACCTAAAGATGACAAATTATTCATTTACCTGTGAAGACCCTTCTGCTTTAATACTTCAGTCTCTACAAAGCTTAACAGGAAAGATGTTCCCAAATTGTGTTATTTTTGGCATACGATACCCCACCAACTAGAAATGCCTCTCTGCCTGAACATATGCAGAATTTCTCTAAATGAAAATTGAGTGGGAAAGAATTTGCATTTCTTAACTTCAAATGACAAGATTAGCTCCTGTTATTAAAGATACTGTTAAATTCCTGAACTTATCACATAGCTGCAGTCATAGTTATTATTCAGACTCTAGGCAGGGAAAGTAAAAAAATAATAATAATAATAAATAGACTATTAATGATTTTCTGGAGAACTACTGTGATTGACAGTAGTGCACAACTGTGGAGTCTGTTAATTTAAACTGGTATGATCAGAATCTTTTCTTTTTTGTCCCCTTCACCTCTTTCTATTTAGGACAGTCAGCCCTGAACTCAAGTCTTATGCTTTGGGGGTTCTATTCCTGCTCCTTCGTTTACTGGGTAGGTATAAACCTCTATTCCCTTATTAATGAAATAAATATTTATTCTCCAACAAGTTAGTCTTTATAAAGTTTATTGCTCATTTGATTTTCTCTGTAAAGTTTAATTCTTATTTACCAGTGCTCTCCCACAACATAGACTTTGTGTCTGGAGACCAGACCCAGAGACTGGACATATTTGGCCCCCTCCCTGACTATCTTGATCCCAATTTTTGACCCAAAAAATTTGACAAAGTTGTGACCCTAAAATTTTCATTCAGTTGGTGAAGAGAAGATTCTCAGGTTAATAAAACCCATCTTCTCTGCTGCCCTTGCACTTTACTTGTGCAAGGGATAAAAGAAAGCAACCCTCCAACTTAGCAAGCCCATTATTAAAATGTGAGCAGTTTGTGAATGATTTGTTTTGTGGGTCTTCCAGTGGAGAGAGGCAGTCCCTCTCATATTGCTGCACAAATGTAAACTTTGCATCCTTTTTAATTTCCCAAATCCACATTCTCTACTTTTGGTTCTTCCCCAAGGACTTCTGAGGACTTCTGGCTGGCTTAATGCTTTATATAAGTCTCTCTCTTCCACCACAGCCTGCCTCAGAGAACCATCGGCCTATCAAAACTAGAAAGGACCTTAGAGATCATCTGGTCCAACCCCCTAATTTCTTTCAGCTGCAAAACTGAAACCTAGGGAAGTTAAATCATTTCTATAGTTAGAGCTTTACACAATTACACAGCTTCTTAGTTTCAGTGCTAATACCAGAAACTAAGTCTCCTGACTCCTCCTCCAGTGTTCTTTCCACCACATCCCAGCTGCCTTATTTGAACTCCTTTGTCAAATGTCAGGATTGGGCCAAATCCAAAGAAGCTATGACCTTTCATGCTTGAGTAAGAGGCAAACAGTTTGCGTTGATGAATTTTCTCTTTTTCTTTTAAATGGAAGATTAGTGGAAAGGTACATACAGAGCTAAGGACAGTTTTTAGAGAGCTTGAATAAACATTTTTCTGAGACTTCATTGCATCTCTCCCTTTTGCCTCCATTAGTGTGTGGACAGAAGAAAGGGCCAAAATCATAGCAAAGTTTATGAAAAAGTTCTCAGTACTAGGAAGTGCAGCTCACATTCGAAGGAAAACTTTGGAGTAAATAAAAACTACATTCTACTCCCATGGCCTTACACATCCTTACAGAAAATCACTAGTGCTCCCAATTTCCCTTAACCCAACTGCCTGGCCTCCCACCCACCCGCAACCCCAACCAACACCCATTCCCTCAGAGCTGTTTGGACTAGATGACCTCTAATTTCCTTTTCTTCTGTAATATTTTATGATTTTATGGCTTTGTATAGGAACTATTCTAATCTATGGAATTATTTTAGGATTCAGGCTATCTCTACAGGTGGTATAAAATACTTAATCCTTTATTATGCTGTATGATTTTCATATCAAATAGTGAGAATTTTTAAAAAGAATTTCTGAAAATTAGCTCAAATTTCAAGAAATACAGACTGAGAACAGTTAATTTTTCAAGGAAATATAAATTGTTGTTGTTATTATTGTAACCTAGGGCCCTCACTGCATATATGTCTGCTTGAGAAGTTAATTACCCATGCATCTGCATCATCTACCTAATTTGCCTGTGAAACCTTTACTTTTGACTTAATTGTATTTGTTCTTGAAATAGGATATATTAAACCTTGTTAATGATGTTACAGAACTAAGAAGATGGAGAATTGCAGATAGAAGGACAGTCAATTCAGAACAATTTTTACTCTCTTCAAAGCAGAATTTATGTTTCTACCCTAAAACTAAATCCATCCCATTTCCATGCCTTTGCACATCTCCCTCCCTACCTCCCCACTTAGAAAGCCTACTTTCCTTCATAGATCAGCTTAAGTGCCAATTTCTACTGGAGGTTTTTCCTGACCCTTCACTCTCCCAGCTTATATTGTCCCTCCCCCCAATGCTTTGTATTTGTCCTGTATGTTCCTTTTATGTGCTTATGGATGTAACACTTGCCTTCTCTGGTAGAATATAAGCTCTTTGAGGACAGTCCGTTTCATTTTTGTCTGTAACCCCAGCACCTAACATAGGACCTAGCACATAGTAGCCTCTTAATGAAAGCTTGTTGACTGACTGGCAGATTGATCTTTTAGCTTCTGAGGTCTAATATATATTAACAGTTCCCTGATTATATGAATTAAGGTTAAGATTCAATCAACAAGGCTATCCCATGAAGGGGTCCTCAGGCCCATGGTTTAATTCTGCATATCTAGTTTTCATTTAGCTTAGCTCTTCTACCCAACTCTGCTTCCCCCACAGCTGTTTTAGTGGCCCTACAGGGTAAGCCCCCACAGAGTGAAAAAGAATAAATTAAGGGAGATATCATTTCTTAAAACATTACTTCCCCATGCCATACTGGGAAGCACATTTGGGTGAGTAATCAAAAGATCTGGGTTCATTTCTCAACTAAACCACCTGTTAATCATGTGGCATCAGGCACATAATCACTTAATCTTCTCTGAGCCTTCATTTTCTCATCTGTAAAATGAAGAAAATAATACTGGCTCTGTCCACCTCAGAGTACGGTTGTCAGGATCAGATGAGATAATGTGCTCTGAAAACCATAAAACATTGTACACATGTAAGGCATGAGCTTATTTCATCAGCAAGAATCATTGCTGTCTGCCTGGGAGCAAAAAGACACTCGGTCATGATTACTTTGGTCAAAGCTACTCTGGAGAAATATTATGTTTGAATCAGGCCTCTTGATTCTCTCTTCCTGACAACTCTATATCCGTATCATCCGAGAATGAGTTTCTCGGTGATTTTTTTTTAATGCCCTTCTTTTTCCATTATAATTAGTCCTAGAAGCATAATATGTTCAAGGCAGAAAATTATCTAATCTAACTATTCATTTGACAGATGAGGAAACTGAGATCCAGAGAGGTAAAATTCCTTTATCAAGGTTGCACAGCTACTTAGGAACAGATCTGGAACTCCCTTACTCCTGATGAACCTGTACTAGCAATAATTTTCAACTGACTAATTACCACTCTCTTGCAACATTCCCTTGTGATCACTACTATGGATTTGTGAGATGTGTCTGGTTAGATCTGAGAATATAGTCTGTAATGATGAAATAGAGAAAACAAATCCTAACTGAGTTATATGATATTTAAATCTACAACTTCGTTAACACCAAGTCTTGTTACGCTCAGGGATGACTATAGAGAGATTTTAGCTTGGCAATTAACAATTGAGACCATTTTTTCACACACTACACATTATGTATAGTAAAAGCTGGGTCGAGTGATAGATGCTCAATAAATCTTTCTTGAAATGAAAAAAAAATCTTAGTCGTACATCAGAAGATGCCAATATATCTCAAAGCTAAGTATCTTCCTTGACACTGGGAGAACAGGAATCCTCACTAATTACTTAAGAGGAGTATGTGTACAGGCGTTCCCAATCTGTAGCATGTGTTGGTTACATCAGTAGTCCTGACAGCATGAATGCAGAATCCTGTAAGCTTGGCAGGTGAACAGGAGAGGAATGGGTGTCTTTTCAAATGTAAATGTCAATGTAATTTTCAGACTCCATATCTATTCTGTAAATGATTTTTAATTTATTTTTCTTACAAAAGCCTTTCAGTTCAGCTGAAAGTTTAGGCTTAAGAACATAAATAGGCACAGCCCTTTCAACCAGTGGAGTGCATTAAATAGCCAAGGTAGGAAACCTGGTGTAGTCTAAGTTAATGGATTTTTCAGGAAAACAGAGACAATTTCCTTAAACAGGGCTGCAATTTCTGCAGCAAAATGCATATAGTAGCAATTTGGACTCTGCTGTAATAAGAGGCAAGATTTAATCCTTTTAATATTCACTGTAATAACATGGAACTGGAGTGTGCCCTTATAGCATTCCCCCCAAGGTATTCATCTCCAGTAAGAGAGCTGCTGTGAAAGAATGATATTTAATGTCTACTTGTTACTGCAGCCTCACGGCAGACGTTAAAGGGGGAATCTCAAGTGACCCCATAGGAGTTGTGGAAAAGGCAGAAGAAGAAAAGAAAAGAGCAGTTATAATAAGCTCTAGTGGAGTGACTCTGTTCCCACTACCCAAAGCTCTCAAAGGCCATATTATATCCCTACTGTATTCCCTTACTTTTCCCCCAAAGTAACAGAGGGCACAGCCAGGGCACAGGAGATAAGAACAGAAACAGAAATGCACTTTACCCAGTTTGCCTATCTTGTATCATTTAGCTTCTCCTCAACCATAGGGCTCCCTAGCATCACTACCTCCACTCCCATCAATTCAAATATAATTCAACAGATATTTATTAAACTGCTACTAAATGGAAGGCATTGTGTTAGCTGCTGAGGATCCAAAAACAAAAATAAATGGTCCCATACCTCAAGGAGCTTCCATTCTTCGAGCTTCATGCAAGCTGGGTACAAGCAAGTAAATGCAAAAGTAAATAAGGGGAAATTAAAGAAGGAGAAAAATGCTTACAGCTGAGAAGATCAAGAAAGGACTTATGTAAGAGGTGGAGCCAGAGCTGTGCTTTGAAGGAAGCCATGAATTTTGTGAGGGAGAAGTATATTCTAAACTTGGAAGATCACTGTGCAGAGTGGTAGATGGAATGTCATGTGTGAGGAAGAGCTAGCAAGCCAGTTTAACTGGAATGGAAAACATGGAATAAAAACTATGTGAAAGCTAGATTTTCAATAGCATTTAAAATGCCAGACTGAAACATTTATCATTTATTCTAGAGGCAATAGAGGAGCCATTAAAGATGTTTGAGAAGGGAACTGAAATGGTCAGATCTGTGTTTTAGGCATATCAAGTTGGAAACTGTGGAGGATGAATTGGACAGGGAAGAGATTGGAAGCAGGGATGCCATTTAAGGAGCTGTTGTAGTAATTAGGAGAAAAAAAAATTAAAATCTGAATTAGGAAAGTGGCCCTTTGAATGGAGAGAAGGAAAGATACCAGAGATATTATGGAATTGGGGTCAACAAGATTTGGCAACTGATTAAAGATAGAAGTTGAGGGGAAGTTCCAGGACTGTGAAACTGACTGACTTTAAGGATGGTATTCCCTTCAATATAGGATAAGTTAAAGGAGGGAGGGAGAAAAAAATGAGATCTGTTTTAGATATATAGAGTTTGAGATTTGATGAACTGTCCAGAAAGAGCCATGGGGCAGTTGGTAAAGTGGAACTGTAATTCAGAAGAGACATACAGGAATGGATTAGGGGTGGATATATGGATTTTGGAGTGCATAGAGATAATCATTGAACCCAGGGATGTTGAACTCCGGAACAAAAGTATATCAAAGAGTGAGAAGAGGCCCCAGGACTGAGTCTTGCCAGGAGTCTAGACAGGAGACAGAGAAGAAGCTTGGGATTGAAGCTGAAAACAATAGAATGGTCAGAAAAGTAAAAGGAAAGTCAAGAGAAAGTAGTGCCAAAGAAACCAAGGAGGGGAAGAGGATCCAGATTAGGAAAAGGAAAAGGAAAGTGATCAACAGTGTCTAAAGCTGGAGAATAGTCAAGTTGAAGGAGGACTAAGAAAAAAGCCTTTGGATTTATAAGTTAGATAATACAGTTTAGGTCGAGTGATCTGGTTAGAATACAGGCTACATCTGGTTTAAGAGTGAGTAAGGGGTGAGAAAGTGGATGCAAAGAGTACAGGTGACCTTTTCTAGGAATTTGGCTGTGAAAGGGAGAATAAGAAGGACAAGGAATGTCCTGGAAGGGATGGCAGTGGCAAGTGAAGGTGAGCTCCTTGACAGTAGGTATTGTTTGATTCTTTTTATTTTCATCCAAACTAGAATTGTGTCTGAGATACTGTGTTTAATAAATACTTGTTGATTACTAATGGGGGGAGAGAACTAATTAATCAATCAGTGAATGATTGGCACGTTTGTATGTGGATAGGGAAGGAAAGGATGGATAAAGAAAGGTTAAAAAAAAGAGAGAGGGAATGATGAAGGAGATAAACTTCCAGAAGAGATAAGAGAGCACCAATGGAAGGGTTAGCCTTAGCAAGGAGAAGGCCCATCTCTTTCTCAAAGACATTGGATCAAAGAAGGAAAGAATGAAGGATCTGTAGGGCCTGGATTCAATGCAGGATTCCTAATGTATTTCTAATGTTGATGTACTAAAATACAATTCTGTTTACTGGACTTCTTTCAGAGATACATATGTAAAGCTAGGGAAACCTATACTTTCAAATCCTCCCCAAACAAACTTCTTGTCAATTGATTAAGTTTGATACAATAATAACTCAGCTCCACCTCCCCACTGCCCAATATTCATAAACAATTGACTGACCACAGGGTAGACAACAGGAGCAAACTCATGGGGTCTAAATAGGTCCCTGGATGGATTTAACTCCTGGCTGTCCAGAGGAATAGACTTTGTTAACAATACCATGTACCCTCATCTAAATCAGTTGGGATTTCCATTTCTTTGCCTAAAAGACACTGGAGATTTATTGTGCAAATACTTGTCGTGGCCCTCCTCTGAGCTAGGTACATTTCAGTGACCATCAAAGTAGTTGTTATCCTGGAAGGGGGTAGAAAGTCTTAAGACTGCTTGTTAGGAATGGAGAGGATGCCATGAATTTAGGATTTTCATGTCTGAAAATAACCCAACCTTGCAGCAGCAAAGGCAAAACAGGTTAGGCAGGACTTCAAACTTGTACATTTATTAAATCACCATTGTTTCAGAGGTTTAATGAGGCTTTCCATTAGAACTACTCTTTCAGGGTCCTTGACTGTGGTAACAAGCCTCTGAAAAGGAGTGCTAAGGGAAAGTACTGACAGCATCTTGACTGCAGGACCCTGGACAGTTCTGCTGACCTAGTTAAAATTGGTAAGAAAGCACCTTTCCTGCCCCATCTTGAGCCCCTAGATTTAATGCTGACCAATGGAAAAAAGAAAAATTTCCCTTCATTAATGCACAAGTAGGGGGATCAGGTCTGCCCTCTGAAAGCTCACTGGAAAAAGTGGACAATAAAGAACAAACCAACAGAGCCGAGTAGTGAGTGTCTTTTTCCCTCTTCCAGGCTTCATCCCTCCTCCCTTGATCTTCGGGGCAGGCATTGACTCCACCTGCCTGTTCTGGAGCACATTCTGCGGCGAGCAGGGTGCCTGTGCCCTCTATGACAACGTGGTGTACAGATACCTGTACGTCAGCATCGCGATTGCCCTCAAATCTTTTGCGTTCATCCTTTACACCACAACGTGGCAGTGCCTGAGGAAAAACTATAAACGATACATCAAAAACCACGAGGGTGGGCTCAGCACGAGTGAGTTCTTTGCCTCTACTCTGACCCTAGACAATCTAGGGAGGGACCCTGTGGCCCCAAACCAGTCACATAGGACAAAATTTATCTATAACCTGGAAGATCACGAGTGGTGTGAAAACATGGAATCTGTTTTATAGTGACTAAGGAAGGACAAACTATATTAGTAAACAAAGGGTCCTTTTTCTTAAAAAAAATTAAAATAAAGTTTAAAAAAAATGGAAACATACACACACAACAACAACAACAACCACTTTTGTCCTTTTCTCAAAATCGTAGCCAGACAGGATTCAGAATGAGATATATGGGATCATGTACTTGACATTCTTCGGGAGCAAGGCAGGAAATGCCACCAGGGCCTTGGTGGCAACCCTTTGAAGGTTCAAATGTGGTCTCTAGAAATGCCATCAGCTCCAAGCAACAGGGAATGATGGTGGCCAGTTCAGCAAATGGACGTTTTTGGACATAAAAACCTATCATCTTATTAAAAAAAAAGTTGAAAACATTTCCAGAATAAGCACTAGTGATACTCTATGCCACCTCCTCCTTCAATATGGGGCAGGAAGGGAGCAAGAGAAGAGGGGGGTGAGAGATCTGCTCCTCTCTAACCTTTGCAATATGGGTCACTGTGTAGACACCTCACCCAGTCTGCATGTTGTTCCAGGCCCCATAGTTCTCTCAGTGATGTTATTGGGTGATCCGTGCTGGAATCAATAAATGACACCCCTCACCAGCCGTATTTCCATGTTCAAAAGTTAGAAAACTGAGAGAGTGAGGGGAGAGTGGAGTGTATGTGTTGGAGGATATAGGACTTATCAGTCCCCCATCTACACATTTAGAAGGTGAAAAAATTCATCTTCTTCCAAGCCTCACAGACCTCAGGATGTGCTGGGCCTTATCTGTGGCTATGACTGGCTGCTGCGCTCAGAGCCATGGAGACCCAAATTTAGTACAAGTCATTTGCTTACATTTGCCAAACATTTTGCCATTTTTAAATGGGTATGGATTTCAAACAGTTGTATGTATAATCTCTAATACTATTTTTAACTATTTCCAAAAGCTATGTTAACCTTTCAGTCACTAACAGAATTCTATAAGAGGACTTTATTATATGCTGGTTGCTTTACTTTTTTTTTCTTTTTAATGCACCAAAAATATAATGTGATTCAAGGGATGCAATTAATCTATTGTAATTTTTATCCTTTTATCTTCATTCTGATACACTACAAAGCCAGTAAGAAAATACATGTTACCAAAAAAAAAATCTTCAGAGAGAATGGATGGAGTCTCTCTAAAAAGAACCATAATTGGGACAACAGGGGAGAAGGTAATGAAATGCAAACTTGCCTTTTCTCTTTAATCTCAATGGTCACTGTCATGAAGAAGCCCCCTTTATATTCACAACTACATTTTGAAAGTATTATTTGCAGTCTGTCGAAGCTCACTTAGGTGGTGTTTGTGGGTATCTGTATACACATGTGTATGTTACGTTTTTTAATGAAAGGAAATGGGAAATGAAAAATACATCTTAGGCTATTATTCCCGAGCACAAGCTGTTGAACAGCCAGGGGTGCCCCACTTTAATGAATCTTCCCACAAAATACTGAAAGCCCTTTCCGTGGATCAAAATGTCAACAGTGTGTTCAAGGTCAGTCTCCGATTTAAGAGGCTTTTGTCCATGTATTTTGAAAGTGACTGAACTTCAAACAGTTAAAGAGGGAACTTCTCATTGTTTGGAATAAGGATCCCCTGAAAAACCTCTTGCTGGCAGAAGACTAAACTTTTGTGGGCAAGTCTGTGGGAGAGAGACATTGGGCATACACACATGTGCAAGTAGACACACACACACACACACACACACACACACACACACACACTTTCACAGCAAGTGGGCCCATTAATCTGTTCTCCATACTTGTTTGATGACCTGGTTTCAAATGTGGCATTCCTATGAACTTGGCCCAGAGCTGTCCCCAAAGGCTTATTTTACCTTACTCATGCATTCATAGTTCACACTCGGGATTAAACAGCAAGGAAAAGAAAATCCTAAAGGAAAAGGACACTGTACCAGCTACTCAACAAACAGGAAATGAGGAGACTTGATTCCAAGTACAGAACCATAGAAAATCATCAAGCAAAGGAGAGAGGGGATTGTGTAGCTAGTATTGTGCTCGGTTGCCTGGGAGATGATGTTTTTTGAAAAATAGTTCTTGAATCTATATAATTTTGGCATAGCTTCATCGATTAAAATATACATACTCATCCATCAATTACATAATTGATAGGGGTGATAATTTTACAGCTAGTCTAAAAATACATATGGTTGTTAGTTATGATATTTTTCTATACAGGGTTGTTTTGTTTTGCTTTATCTTTTCGTTTTGAAAATATATTGTTGGTAGGTCTGACTGACCTGTTCATTGTTCCATACATGGGCAGAATTATCAAGGCCCAGGTATTTAGCCTTTCCAGAAGCCATTTATTTCTTTTTCAAAACCTGTAAAACCAATGGCCATTTGGATTTTTTCTAAAGATTCTCGAATATGTGAGAATATTGACACTTGGAATAGTACTAGACAAGCAGAAAGTAACTCAAGGACTGTGCTTTATCAGTCACTGAATGGACAATCAAAAGCTCCATCTTACAAAGAAGACTCCAGAAATGTCACCTTTCGAAAATTGAATTCTGGTGCTTAGTGAAGGGAAAAGCCAGCCCTTTTCTGGCTTTCTTTTTGTACTTAGGGGAAACACTGCCATAGTCAACTCTTTGTTTGTAACTGATGTTAATGTTTGAGTGTGGGAAAGGATGCTTCTAGTCTGATTTCCAATGGCCTTTACAGCCATTACAATGGAAGAAAAAAACATGGAGACAGAACTCCTCCTAGAAATGGAGTGCTCACAGTTCTTTGTCTTCTTTTCTTAGAACCTCATCTCCTATTTGGCAGGTTAAGTCACTTAACTATAAAATGTCTGGGGATAGATAATTCACCCTTTCCCTGTTGGAATTTTGATAAGCTTTTAATGCTATATAAAGATCAAGAGCTTTTAACCATTGTCCTAATGTACTATCACCCAGAAAGGTATGCCCTTTTAGAAATCATTCACAAAATATTGGGAAAAAATCATATCTTAGAATTATTTTTTCCCTAGAGAAAGGAGAATTCCTTCACCTTTGGTTCACCAAAATCAGTGGGAACCAAAGCCTTATCATTTTCTTCACCATTTCAAAAAAGTAGGGTGGTATTGCATGCTGAGGAGCCTGCCACTCTAAAGGGCTTGAAGCAAACTCAGAAAAGAGTTAATGAAAACAGGAAACATACCTTCCCTAAAGCATTCCCTAACCCCCTCCCCCAAGGAGTTTGTTAATAGGGTTTAATAGACAAAATAATAAAAGGGAGATCAAGTCATCTAAGATCAAAAGAGATTTATATATATATATATATGCACATATATATCACACACACACACATATATACATACATACATATCTCACTTCATAAACTTTAAAGCACTATATAGACTAAAAGGTGTTTACTTGGTATTAATGCCCCATGATACTCTGTCTTCCAACCACCCTGCTTCTCTTTTTCCTTTTCTTCTTCTTCCTCCTGCCCTTCTTCTTTCTTTTCCTGAGACTTTTATACTGACACATCATTTCACAAATGTTTCTTTCTTGAGTCCTAGGTCAGTTATACTGAACCAGTCTAATAATCATGGGCCTCAGTCCACAATGGACCAACACAAGTGTGCAAGCATGCATGCTTACACACAACAACAACAACAAAAACAATTGTATACTACCAACAACAGATTACTGTAGAGTTTGCCCAGGAGACAAATTCTTCTGTAGTTGGTAATTAATATTTCCCATCACTTAGTATGCTGGATAGCTATCAGATACATCAGAGTTAGGGGAACCCTTAAAATGAAAGAATCTTTGCTTAAATACCTCATAGAGTTCCCATGAAGACCTTTTGTGGGGAAGATGGTATTGCTCCTTCTAACACAGGCTTTCCAGACAAATCTCCATGTTTCATTTTGCTCTGTTTCCATCAGAGTACAGTTTTCTTTATTTCACCATTGCAGTTATAGTATACTGTATTCAATCCACAAGTAGACCATTGCTTTGTGAATGGAGCCCTCAGAGAATACCTCAGGAATATTAAGCAATAATGACTACCTTGTGGAATAAACCACAACTGCTCTCCTATAGTTAAACTAGAGACAATGGGCACCACGGGTCAGGTTCTGTCTTTTCTTCCAGAAAACCAAGTCTTACTTTCCTTTAGCTCAGCAGAATGAGTGGCAACTTAACAATGAAGGAAAATGCCCTCTGCCTTGTTCTGACTCTGGTTTCATCCTGTCTTCAATGGACTCAGAAATCCACATGTCTGAAAAGAATACAGAGACTGAAGAGCATTGCCTCAGAGATAATCCCATTGTCTGGCTTGGCCTTTATTTGTTTCCTCTCACAGGTCATTTTTCTAAACCTGGGGCTGTTCACCTTATGTTAGAAGCAATTCAAACACTCAGAAAGTGCCAAGTGTTGAGGAGAGGTAGCTACTGTATTTAGCTTGGCCAAGAGAATTACTTTTATGACATAGACTAAGAACTCTTAGTTTAGGCCTCAGAATATGAGAAGAGATTCCAGAGACATTCACCATAATAAAGGTGAAGATGAAGACTAGACTGAACTCCTTGAGGGCAGGGACTGAGGTTGGGGGGGGGCGGTTATGCTTGTTTTATCCTTGTTTTGTTTTTGGTTTTGCCTTTCTTTGTGTTCCTAGCACTTAGCACAGTGTCTGTCACAAAGTAGGTGCTTAGTAAGTACCGGTTGATTTGACTTGTTATGAGAGCAAGGGACCCCCAAGGGGAGAAAACTCTAGTTTATGTGGCACATAGCATTCTTCAAGTGTCCTCACTTCATTTCCTTCTTTTCTCCTACCCTTCACCCCCGAGAACACTCCAAAATGTCCTATTAATTAGGCACCTCAGTAACACAGGATCATAGATTTATAGAAGCCTATGATCCCCCCTTCAGAATAATGTTCTTAAATGCATGAAATAAAATACATGAAGTAACAAAGGAAACCAAAGCATACATACATACATATGTATTACATGCATATATATATATATATATACATATATATATATATATACACATATATGTGGGCAGCTAGGTGGTACAGTGGATACAACATAGGCTTGGAATCAGGAAGACTCATCTTCGTGAGTTCAAATCTGGCCTCAGACACTTACTCAGACCCAGGCAAGTCATTTAACCCTGTTTGCCCCAGTTTTCTCATCTGTAAAATGAATTGTAAATGAATAAATAAATATATATATTTATGTAGTATATGTGAATTATATAATAAATACACACACAGATATTTCCATCCAAGTTTGTGGACCCCTGAAATCAATCCATAGACTCCTGGACCTCAGATTAAAACCCCTGATATAGAGCTAGAAAGACCATTGAAAGTCCAGTGCCCTCATTTTATACATGCTGAATGATGTGGAATGAATTCCTTATGATCACACAGGTAGCAAGTGTCTGAAGCAGGATTTGAACTCAGATCTTCTTGACTCTAAGCCTAGAGTCTAGTACTCTATCTGTGGTGCCACTTATGCGCCACCTAACTGCCTTGGATCTTTTTAAAACAATTGGTGCCCCATTGTGAATAACCAGAAAGTCTCTGAAATAAAGCTCACTCCTCAAAAGGAAGTGAACTGAAGTGAATCTCAATTTGGTGGAATGTGCTGAACAACATTTTAATTCATTTTGCCCATTTCAGCCATTATCTTCTTTAAGAACCCTGCTGCTCACTTCCACTAATATGTCAAGGGGAAAAATATAGAGAATCAGTCTTGTTTGGTGCCACCCAGCCACAGACCACAGTCAACTTATTTATCATAGAAAGTGGCTCTTCTGGGGGCAGCTAGGTGGCGCAGTGGATAGAACACTGGTCCTGAATTCAGGAGGACCTGAGTTCAAATCCAACCTCAGACACATAACACTTACTAGCTGTGTAACCCTGGGCAGGTCACTTAACCCCATTGCCTAGCCAAAAAAAAAAAAGTGGCTCTTCACCCTGCCCTAGGGGACAGAGGTACTGCTTACGGATTGAGTATAGGTGAACCTAGTCAATACTGCAAACCTGTATTAAAGAATCCCCAAGTGTAGAAGGTGTCCCATAGAACAGAACCCTTGATAATGTTGGTATTTAGGACAGAATGAACATCCTCTTCATCCCAACTAACCATGTTATTGTAGAATTTTGTGATGTGATTAATATGCTTCAGGGAATGCAACTTAATTTGTAGTTTATTCAGATCCAGCTGAGTCGTGTTATAATGGGGGTCCTGGTGTAGTTTTAGTTAAATCATTTTTTTCACCAAGAAGAGATTCCAAGGGGAAGCCAAGAATGTTAACTGCCCCTCCCTAAACCAAAGCAAAAACTAGTACAAAAGGATCATCACTATATAATCCCATTCTTTTCTTCTTGGGTAATGAAAAATCTTTCTTGAAGAGAAAGATAAAGGAGAATAAGAAAGGGAGAAGACCAAATCTGTTAACCTTGAATAATGTAGAAGTACATAATGATAGACATAGCTGACACCTTTGAAGGCTAAACAATGTTTATGTATGACCAAAAACATTGGCCTCTGAAAACACTGATGAATAAAGCCTCTTTTCTTCCCCTTCCACCAATCATTGTCACTAGAAATTTGCATGGTGTCCAACGTGGAATGAGTCTGCATTACTAAACATGAATTGGATGCATCCACAACCACAACCACTACCATAGCCTGGGACTGTTTGTGTTGGCTACCTCAAAAGAAAGTCCCTTAGAGGAACAGTGACATGGCACAGTGGATAAAGCACCTGCCCCAGAGTCAGGAGGACCTGAGTTCAAATCCAGTCTCAGACCAGATACTTGATACTTACTAGATATGTGACCCTAGGCAAGTCACTTAACCCCCAATTGCCTTGCCAAAAAAAAAGAAAAGAAACAAAAAGAAAGTCCCTTAACCAAAAGTGTTATGGGCAACAACATGCCAGAAGATGACCTTTTACAGAGCACAACTGAGGTATATCATCAGGGAGAGTCCTGGGAAGTTGAATATTATCACTGTCTGGGATTTCCCTGATCATAGCCTTCTGAGCCATTGGGGTAGCAGCAAAAGTGTTCATCTCAGGGAAACAGAATTAAAAATCAAAAAAGCTGTTGATATATGCTTACCAATTTTGGAAGTGCTACAGCCATTGACAAACATAACTAATATTTACATATCAAAGTGCTTTCCATGAATTTAATCCTCACAGCAAATCTGTGAGGTATCACAGGTATTGTTCCCATTTTACAGATAAGGAAACTGAGGCTCTGGGAAATTAAGTGATTTGTCCATAGTGACACAACTAGTTAACAGCAAAGATAGGATTAGAGCCCAGAGTCTCTCCTCCAGGTCCAGTATTCTTTCCACTAGACCTTCCTGTCCACATGTATTTGCATATGGTACCAGAATGGTTTATGGATCAGGTTAAGAAACTATCAGATACTATTATTTTTCCTTTGTTATTTTTAAGCACCTGATGCTGCCACTTTTCCCCAGTATGAATGAATAGTGATAACAGAGGGAGCTTAGCTTTGACCTGAAGGCTTTAAAGGTGGAGATTAAATATGCAATTGGTATAAGACTGATCTCTGCTCTCAGACTGCAAGTGTTGAAACAAAATTGCCCTGATATGATGTACAGTCCTAGTTTCATAATGACTCTAAAGGTCAACAAAATGTTGAGAAGTTATTATAGTACTTTTGTTACAGATTTTGCACAATTTGGCAAAAGGTAAAAAAATAGCTATCTTATATTTTGCTAGAAGCAAATGTAGTACAGTTTGGAATATTTGGCTATAATACAGTGCTGGTTCATTGGAGTCTACATGCGCACAAGTATCCTCATCTGAAAATGCAGCCCCCACTTTTAAGGTTAGCCTGCATTATTAACATTTTCACCATTTTTTTTCAAGTCTAGACCATCAACAAAACAATAATCTAAGCCTTGACTAATACCTTTTGCCAATTTCCAAGATAGTAATGTTCACACTAAAAATTTAACAATTGGCTCCGAGGAGCCCATACAGCTGGTCCCAACACAACTCTGACTGTACTTCGTTATCTCAAATGTCCATGATTTCATCAGGGTGAGCTTTTCTACTATTTTTGCAGATTGCCACCTATTTGACCACTACCAGCATACCACCATTTTGTAGATAAGAACACTGAGGCTTAGAGTGATCAAATGACTTAACAAAAGTCATCCAAGGAGTGACTCTATGCTCTCTTCAGCTTAACAAACCCTTCCAGAGCTTAAACTCTATTAGCATGACCTTTACTTTGAGAGCCCAGGATCACCTCCATGCCTCAGTGAAGCATGATAGACTTTGAGTGAAGGAAATTCATACTCATCTGACAAAATAAAAAGAGATCTGCATGGAGGTAAATTTGTCATAATCAATTCACTTTTATTTTTATTCCTAGTGCCATAAAGATGTATTGGAATTGTGCCATGTGGAGTACCTCCAATAGAAGAAAAACTCAACTGAACCATGTTCTGTTTCAACTCTTCTTAAAGAAAACAGTTGAATGTATGAATGTGGCATTTCTGATTCTATGAAGTGCAGGAGACCTGCCAGTCATGATTCCATCCTAGCAGGATCTAATTCTAAGCTTCAGTTTTAACTATCTCATCTCCCCCCTTGCAGGAAAGTCTTTCCATAAAGGCAATTAGCATCTAAGAAATTATCATAGGGCATGAAAAGCCCCCCAAAAAACACCCCCCCCACGAGGGTATGTGGGAAGAGTGTTTCTAGGGATGATTGGTGGAAAGAGGGTCCTTTTGTAAAATTTTCTTGGGGGAGGGAGAAGTGTCCAAAATTTAATAAGCATCAAAAAAAAAATTTAATCAAATCTTCTTGCCAAACTTTAGGACCCTCAGTATATTCTCAAAAGTTGGTATGTTTCCCAATTTTCTCATCACTCTTTGGTATGTTTATCCTGACAACAATTAAGTTATCTTCAAGAACCCATCCATATCAGTCTTTTCCATTTCCTCATCCCACCCCCCAACTCCCCAGACAAATTCAAAGGTTTTAGACAACTTGGGTCTTTCAGTAGAGTTAGGGAGAAAAACGTTTCTGCCCTTTACCCAAAACTTAAGATGTTTTTTTCTTTCCCAGGCAAGAACTCAGCTACAAAGAATACCATTTCTCCCATTCAATGGCATCTTTTGTATCAGTGGGACAAAGTCCAAAAAGGAAAAAATTAAAAGAGCTTCAACCTTCCTAACCCCATTCAGCACCTAGCATTAAACATAAATGTGGCATGCCATAGTCAATGAGATAAGAGCAGCTTATAAATAATCAATGAGACTGCAACTGGATCCTTAGTGCCAGTTTAAAAGAAAACACAGCACCTTCTTTTACACTGGAATCAGGGCTTAAAATTTTTGCTCCAGAAAGGAGGCTGCTTTGCTCACCTGGCACAGTGTAGATTGAGGAAAACAGAGACTAGGTCCAAGATGCTGGGAGAGAGGTCTTCAAGGAGTAAAAGTGTGTGTGTGTGTGTGTGTGTGTGTGTGTGTGTGTGTGTGTGTATTTCTGTCACTTACCTACATCTTATAATAGACGTCTGTCATACCTTCTAGCTAGGCTATATATGTCATAAATAACATATAAT